TTGTCAGTTTCTTTTCCGTCAGTTATTGTTTCGAACTTTCCTCATGCTACCAAGAGCACCTCCAATCAGCCTTCAATCCCACCACAAATCCACCACCACGTTCAAAATGTACCACCACCATACACCGCACCACCCATAACACACCACCACCACTGTACAATATCACCCTTTACACTACAAACACCTCAAAAATCGCAGCAAAACATAAGAAGGGGAGGTGGGAGAGGAGATGAGATGAGAGAAGAGAGAGAGCAGCGGCAACACCGCAGCGAGAAGGATGGTACTGGCGTGGTTGCTACTGTAGCTGCGAAGAGCCATTGTGCCGATCTGTGCGGCTGCCGTCTGAGTGATCGTCGGAGCCAAAGCAGTCTTCTACTTGTTGACGAGCTGCCAGAGGGAGAGGATAAAGGGAGAGAGTCGAGACTGAGGAGAGAAAGAGGGAGAAATGAAGAGATTGTATAATTAGAGTTTGTACAAAAATGAAATGTCTGCTTTTTGAAAAATGAAATTTGATATTTGAAATTGAATGTTGAAAACACTGGTTTGTGTAATTTTCTCAATTAGAAAACAAGGAAAGATCCAATCAAATCAGATATCAATGAGAATTATATGCCACCAAAATTTTTCACGTCCAGAGCCACAGAATTGAAGCAAACCAAAATTAATTAGTACTAGTTTGTTTGATTTGATTTGTTTATGCTTTAGGAAAAAAAAATTATAAGTGTAAAAAATGCAGTAAAAGTAGATCAAAATTATATGCTTTTAAGAGCTAGAACCAATTGAGATTCCCTTTTTTAAAACTCATTTTCAAACACACATTTTATCAAATTTACAATTTTTTAAATTCGATCAATTTTTATTAAAATCTATTAAAATTTAATTTTTAGCCGAGGTTAGACAATCCTTATTTGATTTTTTTATATATTAATTTTCAACCATACATTTACACAATAAATATTTTGGACATAAATTCAAATTTTTTTTTTTACTTTTAATCACACACACTCTTAAGAATCATTATTTAAAATATTGTTTTGGCAAGATAATCAAACAGGCTTAATGAATCCACTGTGATTCTAGAAGGATAGAAAGGATATTTACCTTTAGTAGCCAACTGGGTACCCCGATTAAATCGGCTCATAAAGTGTGGGAGCGAGCGATTAATTGGCTGGTCTAGAAGTCCACAAGACAAGCATTCGCATTTACATATTCAAAAGACGAACTCATCTACACACCGCTCCCTCCACCGCGTTCTAATCGACAACCGACGCAAGCAGCAGCGGCAGTACAATGAACTCAGGCTCACCGCACCCCACTCAACCTCTGCTGCCAACAGCCGGGTCGAGTAAGAAGGTCCGAAAACCCTATACCATAACCCCGTCCAGAGAAAGTAAGACGTTTCGAGTAAGAAGGTCCGAAAACCCTATACCATAACCAAGTCCAGAGAAAGCTGGACCGATTAAGATCATGACTTTTTCCTCGAAGCTCTCCAACGGTTAAGCCCCTCTATATTTCCTTCCTTCGTGTACATATACTTTATATGCATCATGTTTAATCTCTCAGCAACGTTCATTCCGTTAAGCCGTTCATATTTTTCGCGTGAGTGAGAAACTAATTCCAGTCTTTGAAAGTTATTAGTTCGACCCTAAAATCACCTAGTGGGTGAATATGTGAATAACGCGGAATTAAAATTACCGACTAAAAGTAGCAAATCACTTTTAGCCACTATTTGTCTATCATTTTTCAAAACATTATTTCGTACAGTAATCAATCTCCACCACACATTCTGAATAGGAAGGATGGTATTCTCTCTCCACATTACAGTAAAAATGGCAATGTTAATAAAAATTNCCTCTAAAAAATTTGTTTGAGCCTCATTTTTTAGGATAATGGATTTTGTAATAGTAAATTTTTTGAAAAAAAAAAGTGAAAAATTTATGATTTTACATGTAAATTATTTTTATTGAAATGATGTGCGATTGAAAATTAGTTTCAAGAGTCAAATATGAGCTAAATATTTAAATAGATATTAGGAAAATTTACGAAATACGCAATCTATTTAGGGTGTGTTTATACTTTACACAATATATTTTTAATATTTATACTTTAATTACTTAATTTTACATTATGATTATAAATAATAAATTTTGCTGAAAAAATTACAAAACTTTCATTAAAAATAGTCAAATAGATCAAAATATCTATAATTGAAAATAACAAATTACAACTTTTGTATTACATTATGTAACATTTTATACCATTTTTTTAATTCTCCGAAAATTCAATTACTATTTAATTTTCATCTAAAAATTAATTATTATTTCAGTTGAATCATCTCACTACATTATATACGAAAAAAAAAATCTTAAATTTATCTTATGTTCAACATTGACGAGTCTATTGGTGGATAACCGACTTAATTCAGATATTGAGACGTCTTAAATTTACTCATTAATTAATTGACATGACAAGAAATCACAAGTATAAAATTGGACAAAATTTGAGGCACGACTATAAATTTACCCCATCATTGCCTAATTTGACAATAAAATTATAAACGAACACTTCTTTATCAATTTCAGCAAAATAAAAACTAATAATAATAATAATTCATGATTTGCCAATGAACCTAGAAAACATTTCACCCATCAAAATATGATAAGCGACCGATGTGAACACTGTAAATTCTAAAATCTAAAAAAATGTTTTAATTATGTTATTTGAAGAGCGGACGGCGACAATCAGAATATTTTATAACCAGTTTTTCAACTGTTCTAATTGCAAAGTGCAGATTTTATTTGTATTCCAAAAGTTTTAATTAATTGTGGAAATTAATTAACATATTAAAACAAGAACACCGAATATAACGTGGTACATCTCAAAGGAAAATATTCACGGACCTCATGCCACGGGTGAAACAATATACTAAATTAAACGGTCAAAAGTACAATAATTCCAATTTTGTAATTTTGCAAAATTAATAAATAACAATCAAAAGAAATCCGAGAACAACTCACTTATTTTCTTCTTCTTTTAACTTGTTGTAGAAGTGGAATCAAACCCTTCGATCTTCAACTTCGCGTCACTTCAATATTGAACCGGTCGCAACCCCCACTTGAATTAAGAATCATCATTCTTAACTCATGTCTCGCAACTTGATCTTTGAATATGATTGAACATTCACACTCTTGTTTGTTTTCTTCAAATACTATTGAAAAATAACAGTTTGCTTTGAATATAATCAGTGAAGCAAAAAGTCCATTCAAATTTAGGGCCTGTTTGGTACAAATTCTCATTTTCTACAGTAAATCAATTCTCATTTTCAACCATACATTCTTTAATAAAATAATATTTTTCATCACATCAATAATTTTTTCTACTTTTTCAACCACATATTTCCTATCATATCACTATACAAAATCAATTCTTCCCCAAAAATTCCTACCAAACAATCTATAAATATCACCAGATTCGTTGGTGGAGAAAACTCTGGATCAAGCCAATAGTTTTCACCATAAACCATGAGAACTTATCATCCAGCCTAGAAAATCTACTAGACTTACTGATCTAATTCATGCAATTTCTAAGACCGCTAGAATGTGCTTCACTCACACCCGTTCCCAATTTTTTGAAATTGTCTATCTCCAATACGTCACCAAGAACACATTTTTCTTGCACTCTTACTGTGCTTCTTATCCAACCTCCTTCAATTTTCAATAACTTTTGAAAACTATTGAGAAAGAACCTTCTTGATTTTATTTAGGAAGTTGGTGTTTTGGATTATTTGAATTCGATGTTTTCCTAACTTGTGGTTGATTGATCTCAAAAATAAAAAAAAAAATCAATATCAATATTTGGATGTGTTTTTGAATCTTGGAATGATGTTATGAAGATACAATATAATGATCAACTACTCACCAAGTACGCTAGATATTTATAATAAGAGGTATTTAGGTAGATATGATAGATAGAATTCTTGAAAATCACGAATTAGGGTTTCAAGGATAGATAGAATTCTTGAAAATCATGAACTAGGGTTTCACGTATAACACCGTCGCTCAAGGGTCAGGCTAGTGATAGGCAATCAAGAGTCCCGCGATAGGCATGCGATAATGATTTTGCTTTTTCCACTTGAACATTAGCTAGGCGATAGGCTAACGTAAATCTGGTGACTCTTTCTCCTTGTTCTATACTTGTACCCAAAGACTCCTAGTTCATCAATACAACTCTCCAAAAGATTTCTTGATTCTTACAACTCTTTTGTAACAATCTTATTCTTTTATAATAATCATTTTATCTAAAGAATTGTCAATACAACATAAATTCTAACAGTTGTTAAGTAAAATTATGTAGTGACAAGTGAACATAGTTCTCAGTGAATCAATATAACTATCTTTTTACTTATTCTCATGTAATTATTGCTCGGGATTAGCCGTCTCTAAGTTTACTTGCATTCATTTGGGTTGATTGTGCTCGTATTTTTGACCTTGTTTGGTAGGGATTTTTTGGGGGAAGAATTGATTTTGAATAGTGATATGATGGGAAATGTGTGGCTGAAATAGAAGAAAAAATTATTGATGTGATGGAAAATATTATTTTATTAAAGAATGTGTGGTTGAAAATGAGAATTGATTTACTGTAGAAAAATAGAATCCCTACCAAACAGGCCATTTACTCTGCAGTTTGTCCTCGCTGATTTGCAGTAATGAAATTTACCATGATTAGAAAAAAAATAAAGAACTACTAAAATTTTCTACGGGCGCTTTATGAAAGTCTAAGATACTATGTTGTTTCGTGTTAGGGAACGTGTAGACGGTCCACTTTGGATGAATTTTAACAACGATTGGATAAACGGTTGTGTTACGTTTATATAATACGTTTACATAATGATTTATATATAAATGTGGTGAGATATGATTGGGTTAGAAGTTTTTGAATCAAATAAAAAAAAAACTTTTCTTTTCTCTTTTTGACACCTCATCTGTATATTAACCATTATGTAAGTACTTATGTATAAGTAGCATAATTCTTGGATAAAACTTCAAAATCAAACCAACTGTAGTATTTACTGGAGTTTTTATTAGTTAGTGGTTTTAGAGTATCTATATAGAGGGAGTTCCTAAACCAAACCGTTTGTTCAAAGCCATATCGTTGAGGGTCCAAGTGCCACCAAGCCGACAGTTACAAAAGGCTGTTTTGGTTCGGTTTGACGGTTTTTACTTACAACCCTCTTTGTATAGCGTGAAACAACTTCTTAAGCATAGCTTTTCGTAAATTCAGGTTTGATCGTGATTGGAAGAAAATTGAAGATTTTGTTGGTTCAAAGACAGTAATTCAGGTATCAATTAAACCGTTTTAATGTCTTTTTCTATGGTTTTAAACATACAATTTTTTATACTATTGATTTTGAGTTGTGTGATAATCTCACCAATCAATATGAATAATAACGAATTGGGGTCTAGCTAGTATCGGTAAAATTTTGGTCTAATTTCTTTTTCCCTCCATGTTCCTTGTTTAGGCGGTGTCTGAGAATATAAATATGTCCTTTGACTATAAATTTTTGTCTTTATTGTCTAAGGCATTTGAACAGTGAATGATATTTGGCTTCTTTGTTCCAAACTGCACACTGAATTTTCCCACAAAAAGCTACGCAGTCATGCACAAAAATACTTTCTAAAGGTTCAGAAGAATGGAGCAGTAGCACATGTACCTCCTCCCCGCCCTAAGCGTAAAGCTTCTCATCCATACCCACAGAAGGCACCTAGAAATGGTATGTCTTCTCCCTGTCAACAAAATATGGTATCAGGTTGGTTTAAATTTCTGGCATCTTGATTTGCAATTTCTCTTGATTAACTTGTCAGTTTTAGTGCCACTACAAGCATCCATGGCTTATCCTTCTTCAGTGAATTCTCTTGCACTTGGATATCCTACATGTGATGACACTTCCATGCTTGTAAACAATCCATCAAGTGGAGCCATGCCATCCCATAACGAATGCAATCTTCATGGAATTGAAGGTATGTACAAGATTTTAAATATGTAGTTGGTCCATATTTGCACATAAAGCTCTTGCCAAGACAATGAGATTTACTTATTTGTACCCAAAAAATAAAAAAAGTACTTATCAAAGGGAACTTTTCCGCCCTTCTTGTGACATGCAACATTACTGATTCAGCTGATATTGGACCTAAGGAGGGTGAAAATATGAGTGATGGCAGTATGAATGGCATGGGAGATTCAACTAGAACATATGCAGGTTCTAATTTACCAAAGCATGGCAAGCAAGGATCTTTTGCTTCTGGTAAGATTATTTGTCACGCTTCACTTTCGAGTTGGTCTAAGTTACAGGCAATCATGATGAATCTTGAACAGACAACACCCAGTCCCCGAAGAGTTCCTTTGTTAAGTCTTTTATAATGTTATCTCTCCTCTACTTGCCCACCATCGTATGTGTTCTTATCGATTATTTTGTCTCTTCAGTGTCTACATTTTTAAATGCATTATAATTTCAGTTGTTTGTTGTTTGGTGGATTAGCATGCATATCAGAAACTATTATTAAAGCAGCCAAATAGTTTCTGTGCACCGGTTTCTAATGATAGTAGATAAACTACTTAATGATTCCTTAATTGAAAATTTGTGGGGCCTGCATGCAATTTTATTACCATGTGTAGTTATTTGGTTTTGATTGTTTCATTCAATTTGTTTTTAGGCATTCCCGATTTTGCTGAAGTCTATAGCTTCATTGGGAGTGCCTTCGATCCAAACAGTAAAGGTCATGTGCAGAAGCTCAAGGAGATGGATCCCATTAATTTCGAAACTGTGAGTTCACTTGACATTTGTGTGCTCCTTTCTTTCTGATGTCAATCAAATAACGCTCTTAATAATTATTTCCACATATGTATTGGTGCTGGAATTCATGTGCCAGCTATAAGGAAAAAATTACAACTGGTTACGTAGTCGACAAATGTAAAATGAATGACATAACTTTTTCCCCTTCTCTTCCACAGCTCTCGGAGAGGGAAAAGAGAATTCTATGAAATTAATGTTCTGTGTGTGTGTCATGCGTTCTTTTTCATTTTAAATTAAAGAGGAAGGGTATGAGTGTTGGCATAGTGAATGTCTCTTCACCTGGGTATCAAGCACAGACATGGGTATGCATTTAGAGGGTTCATATAGCAGTAGCTGGAGCGAAGTTATGTTGCCACTATTAGTAATTCAGTTATAATTAATGACATAACTTCAGAGTTTGTGGGGGGTTTTTTGCTTCATGCCTCCTGCTTCCTGTCGTAAAATTTTCTTTGAGAACAACTTTTCATTTTGTAAAAATACTTTTGTCCTGTTCTTAAGAAGACACAAATAGTCGAAATTACTGTTCTAATGAAGTATGTGTGACTCATATGTTACTTATATCATATATCAATATTCAACAAAGTGAATAAGAGCTATCAATTCTAGTTTAGGTACATGTCTCTTGTTGGTTGTCATCACATTTCTACAGAGAACAAAACTACTTATTTGTCCGAAATAAGTTAGGAACATTGCATTCTCTTTTAGATCTTTCCTACTTGTTCAATGATAAGTGATATCTATGAAGTTTGTTCAGGTATAGAAATTATATTCTTTTAATTGGGATGCAGGTCTCATTGTTGATAAGAAACCTTGCCATCAACTTGTCCAGCCCAGACTTTGAGCCAATTGTAAGTGATGATGTTTTACTTGTGTCTCAACATATTTATTTCGTGATTCTATCTTTTCATAGCCGAACCTAAAGTTTTTGGGAACATGGCAGTCTTTCACTGTTGTAACGCATACGGCATATCCGAATCTAAATATTTGCCATTATGCACAAATAGCTCGCAAAATATTTTATTATGTTGAAAACAATTTCCACTTATTTTTGCAGAGAAAGGTTCTATCATCATACGACGTCAACACCAAAACAGTAGGGGTACGTGGGCCAGCTGTGATTAAAGCAGAATAGTGATGTTGTGATCCAATAGGCCTGTAATTGTATTTTATTTCTAGTAAGTTTTCCTCTACCTCAAACTCCCTTCCCTCCCCCAACAAAGAAACCAATAATAGTAATTAATATGCTATTATCTATTGAACAGCACTTGGATTAGAAGTCTCCACAGTTTCACTGCTATGAGACTCTCTTTATAGGCACGAGGTGACACTGTCAGGTGTGTGTTCGATGGTCTCTGAACGAACATGACCCCAAGCGTTTTGATGTTTGGACGTGTGTTTCCGTTTTGAATTATGCTAGTCTTGAAACGAACGAGAATGTAGTATCAGCCAATTGCCTTCAACACATGAAGCAATAAAAGTTGTGTATCAGTATGGCCCTGTTTGATAGGGTAAGTTTTCCATGGAAGATGGAAAACTTTTTGTCATTTCCACTTTTTAGAGTGTTTGATAGGAAACGTTTCCAGGTAATTGGTTTTTCACATTTTCTTGCTTTTTGAGGTAAATCAATTCCCACACTTTTGTGGGAATTGGTTTTCTAGGCAGTGTTTTTTTTTTTTTTTTGGGGCAATGAGAACAAATTATATTCCTTTAATGAATAATTTTTATGGAAAATAATGTCAAATGAATATTAAAAGATCCAAAATTTCAATATTTTCAGGTCAAAAATTATACCAATAAAAAACAATTAATTGGCAATTCTCAGTAGAACAAGTTCTAAGCAATTCAATTTCCTTTAATGAATAATTTTTATGGAAAATAATGTCAAATGAATATTAAAATATCCAAAATTTCAATATTTTCAGGTCAAAAATTATACCAATAAAAAACAATTAATTGGCAATTCTCAGTAGAACAAGTTCTAAGCAATTCAATTTCATAGAATTCATTTTTATTTCACCGAAATTCTATTTTTACAATTAAACGGACCCTATATGATCTTAAGTAGAGGGAACGTGGTGCTTGTTTCCATCTTTCTTGGGGTCTGTTTTGCCGTTCTTTCTTTGCTGGAAATCGATGTGAACGGAAATTTTATGGTAGCAAGCTAACAATTCAAAGAAAATTTGATTGAAACGTGAATATATACTAGTTCAATCGATCAACTATAATTATTTTTATACCCCTTAAAATTCTTTTTGAAAATTGCATTTACAAAATTACAATGCATTGCAAGGGTGAATCATATTAACGGATTAACTTAATGCAAAAAAAAACCTCTCGATGCATTTGGGGTTGACATGTTCTTCTAATTGAATTTAAGTCATTTCAAACTTGTCAGTTATTAACTTTTATTTCATTATAATCACAACCTTTAATCGTGGGTTTTCAAAAGAGTAATGTTATTTCGATCGCGCTATAGGTACAGGGTTTACTTACCAACATTTTACAGGTTTTCAAAAATGCTGACGTGGCTTGTAATTTTAAAAAAAATCAAAAACTTAAAACCAAAATGAGTCAATGCTCTCCAACTCTTCGTTCATTTTCCCCCAACTTCACAGGAAAACCTCGAGCAACAAATCCCACCCAAATTGAAACCGCCGTCGCAGGTGGCCGAAAGAGAAACCGGCCGTCGCAATAACCTCCACCTCCGGTCGGTGGCGAAGCTGCGAATAACACACAGATTTCAGTGAAGTATTGGTGGATTGTGAGCATTCGGTTCGTGAAAAGTAGTGTTTAGATTTCCCTTTTCCTGGAGGAACAACTTAGAACTTGGCTTCTGATGTAATCGAGTATATTTCTTGCTGATTTCGCTATATCTCACAGGGTTCTAAAAATTGAGCTATATCTCACAGGGTTATATTAGCTTGGCTTCTAAAAAATTGACTGTTTCGCTATATCTCACAGGGTTATATTTTGAGCTAATTTGATGTAGTTAACGAATGTTGTGATGCTTTAAGGACTATTACACTTATAGTTGACATCCTATAGGTAAAATTTCCTTCATTTTTTTTCTTGACATAGAAAATGCCATTAGAATCACACTTGACTCACCCATGAAGCGTTATTCAAGGAGACTTTTGGAAATGTGGGGCTCACGATATTGAAAAATAAAGAACTTTGGAGGGGGTTAATTTTTTAGTTAATTCGTTTAGTATGCATCACTTGGATTAACTCCGGGTTGCCACTAGTTTGTTTCGCGGATTGATTCATTGCAGTAGTGAGATTGGGTGTAAATATGTGATTTTGGTGGCATAGATTAATTTATGCTCTGGTCATTTCTTAGGTGAGTTGTGGAAATATGTGATTTTTGGAGAAACGCAGATTTCAAACATATAACGGTTTCATCTTATGAAAATTTCTGGTTTCTTATGCAATTCGAAAACAGGTTTCCCTATTTAGTTGTGATGAAGATTGTGTTTTTTACAAGTTTGGTGATTAATATCTATTCACGTTGTTTCATTTGCTTGCAGTCAGCGATTGTTCCTCACCTGTAGTGAAGCTTGTGGATACTTCGATTGGGTGAAAGATGCCGCTTTAGGTGGGGAATCTGATTCCGTTTCTAATGTGGCGAATCATGCTCCGAACGAGTAAGACGAAGAGCTGCCAAGATTGTTTGATGGGCTAGCTAGAATTAGTGAGAAGCGAAGTGTCGACATATCACTGCAAATTACTTTTAGCAAGGGAAACGAAATTGTCAAATGTGGTGGCGAAGGAAAGGGTTCGGAAATCGGAAATTATGGATATGCCATTAGTCATTGTAGGCTCAAATTGCTCCTGTCTTAGAATCTTAGCCCTATTTCTAGTTCATATGTAAACTACTGCTTCTTAGTATTACAAGCAATATTTTCCAGCCATTTCAATGTTTTAGTACTGCACGTTTTGCAATCTTATATTTTCCAGCAATTTTACTCTTATAGTGCCATTTATATCCAGCTCCATCACATTAACTTGAGTTGAAGAATAATACTTTAAGATATGTTGAAGTGCTTTGGAAACTTTTGTGCAATATTGTATCTATCTCGTTATGTGTATTATACAGGAGAAGTTGAGCAATGATGTAAGCTGTGGCGTGAAAATGGAGATTATTTTGGGAGTAGAACAAAGATTTTTAAGAGAGTTTATCTACTTGTACATCAAAAGATTTACGAGTAGATAGCTTAATGTGGGGAAGGTAGGATAGTTTAGTTGCTGTGAGTTGAACGTGACTGGAGCTTCTTTACAGTGTAATCTTGAAGTCATGATTCAAGCTTCCTAACACCATAAATGCCAATATAAATTGCAACATCTCAGATTTAAATGCCAATATAAATTACTCTAAATCTACTATGAACTATCAACTATGAACAAATAGCATATACCATTAGATTTCACATAGGGGCTTCTTTATTATTCTCCTTCTCCTGTGCTTGAATCCAGAAATCTTGGCCACAAAATGCACAAGCATGCGCTTTCGAATTCGAGAACGACCATAGAAGGAGAAACAAATTATTAATGCTGCTCAATCAAGTACAGAAACTATCTGCCAGTTCAAAACCAAGATTTAGCACAGAGATTATCTCCATCCACAAATTAGTAGCATAGGCAGAAAATGATATCGACAAACTATATTCATCATAACAATAATAGTTTTTTTTTCCAATTCCATCTACACGATTTAGCACCCACTTTTCTCGGCATTTCTACAAAATGAATCATACAAAAAGGTGTGATAGTTTTAACCAAAAAAATTACCAGCACTATAAGTGCAAAATGAAATTTCTCGCATAGACGTCCAGAAATAAGGTGCGATAGTTTTAACCAAAAAAATTTCCAGCACTATAAGTGCAAAATGAAATTTCTCGCATAGACGTCCAGAAAGCTGGGACCGTGAGCCATTAATTCTGCCAATTATTCTGAAGGTGTTCATTCGCACAAAACCATATACTTAGCACCCAAATCGAACCGGAAGAGCTTTAGCCGGCTTAAAATAGCGTGAGCTAGCGACATTTGATAGAAGGGCCGGAGATGTCGTCGGCGGGATGTTCACCAGAAATGTGGAGTAATGGTGGCAGGTTCCCGCTTCTTAGCTTCCCGTGATGGAGGTGGTGAGTCCCGCGTAAATGGTGAAAATGTGGAGCACCATTTAGGTTTTAGTTTGTTTTTGCCTTTCTTTTTTTTTTTTTCATTTTCATTAAAGCCACGTCAGCTTTTTTCAAAATCCTGTAAAATGTCTGGTAAAAAAACCTGTACCCACAGCTTAATTCATGTTATTTATCATCATAACGTGACAACTCATTGTTCTTTACATCTCTCTCTCTCTATTTCATATAAATTGAATTGTCTCAACCCAAGATTTTACAAAGACCGTAACAGCACTTAAGATTTACCATCAGATAAATAACATCGTTCTTTTTAAAATTAGCTGATAAAATCATATGATATTGATGAACAAATAGATAAGTTTCATTTCCCATCCAAAGAATTTTTAGAAACCTTTTTTTGGTAATTACACAAAGGGTTTATCCGGATGTACCGAAGGGGGGGGGGTGGCCGAATGGTGTCCCCCCCCTCCCCCACCAAATGCGGCGGGTCCCATGTTTTAAAAAAAATGTTGCTCGTGGTCCCCACTTCCAAATGTGAGTGCGGCATAAAAAAAATTATGTACATGTAGCATAACCCTTATACAAATACACTTAAAATCAGTGGCATTTTGAAAAATCATTGTAAAAGATATCTTTGATCCCCATTTTTCTCAAAATACATTTTTCTTTATCTTCTTTTCAATCACACATTTTCAATAAAATATTATTACACACAACCCAAAAACTTTTTATTTTTTTTAACTATACATTATCCATCATTTTATTATTCCAAAATACATTATACACTAAAAATAAGAGTCAAACAGGCCCTTGAATTATTAGGAATTAAAGAGCATATTAATTACAGTCAGAACCTATCGTTAAAATCGTCTGTTACAAACTCCCAAAGCTTAGCCCTAGCTCCCAAAGCTCAGGAAAACTCGTTCTTCTTCTCCAATTATTTCCTATCCAAATTCATATACATTATTAATGCTTCTCTTACCAGTATACTGTCATAAAGGCGATTCTAAACCACTCGAGTTTGTTAAAAGAGCTAAAGCAACGATTGACAAGAAAAAGTTATCGCTGGAGGCTCCCTCTTCGTACAAATTCTAGACTTTGTCGTGTCTTAATTTGGTTTAGTTTCATTTTTATGTTGGGACAAATGACATTGTTCTTCTGCCTTTGAAAGGAAATTGATTGAGTTAATATATGTAAAAAATTAAGGATGGTGGGCCTAATTTCCTCAAGTTTGTCCCTCTCTCAAGAGGCCCATTAAAACCCATCTATAGCCCATTTTCTTAAAAGGGCTACAAAACCCTCGTTTCGTTCTCTCTGTATATATATGAAACTCAACTGAAACCCTATATTTCTCACTCTCGCGCACCAACGACGCAGTGATCTTGCATCCTCCCCATACCCTTCCCCTTCCATCAACAAAAAAATGGCCGCCGCCGCCCGCCCTCTCGTTACCGTACAAGCTCTAGAGAATGATATGGCCACCGATGGAGCCTCCTTACCTCTTCCTGATGTGATGAAGGCGTCGATTCGCCCTGACATCGTGACATTTGTTCACGGTCAAATCTCCAAGAATGCTCGTCAGCCTTACGCCGTGTCCAAGCGTGCCGGCCACCAGACCTCGGCTGAGTCATGGGGCACGGGCCGTGCTGTGTCGCGTATCCCCCGTGTTCCTGGTGGTGGAACTCACCGTGCCGGACAGGGTGCCTTTGGAAACATGTGCCGTGGTGGTCGCATGTTTGCTCCTACCAAGATCTGGCGCCGCTGGCATCGGGCAGTAAATGTTACGCAGAAACGTCATGCTGTGGTTTCTGCTATTGCCGCATCTGCTGTTCCTTCACTGGTACTTGCTCGTGGGCATAGGATCGAGGAGGTTCCTGAGTTGCCTCTTGTTGTTTCTGATTCAGCTGAGGCTCTGGAGAAGACAAATGCTGCTATTAAAATCCTTAAGCAAATTGGAGCTTATCCCGATGCTGAGAAGGCTAAGGATAGTCTTGGAATTCGCCCTGGAAAGGGTAAAATGCGCAACCGCCGCTACATTTCCAGGAAAGGCCCTCTGGTTGTTTATGGTACTGAGGGTGCAAAGCTTGTGAAGGCATTCCGTAATATCACTGGTGTTGAGGTAGCTCATGTGTCACGACTCAATCTTCTCAAACTGGCTCCTGGAGGTCATCTTGGGAGGTTCATAATCTGGACCAAATCTGCTTTTGAGAAATTGGACGAGATTTATGGAAAATTCGATAAACCATCTGAGAAGAAGAATGGATACGTCTTGCCTAGGGCCAAGATGGTAAATGCTGATCTGGCTAGGATCATTAACTCTGATGAGGTGCAGTCTGTGGTGAAACCGATCAAGAAGGAGATCAAGAGGGCTCCATTGAAGAAGAACCCGCTGAAGAATCTCAACGTGATGCTGAAGCTCAACCCATATGCTAAGGCGGCAAGGAGGATGGCTCTGTTGGCTGAGGCACAGCGTGTGAAGGCTAAGCAAGAGAAGCTTGACAAGAAGAGGAAGCAAATCACTAAGGTACTGCTGTCTTCACTTTTTATTTGGTTATGGATTTTACTGACTAGTATGTCAATTGTTTTAATTCTGATTTTATTCTTCTAGTTATTTCTTCTGCAATATATAATTTCTATTACGCACATGATCTCTGATAATATCTTTTCCCACATTTATCTAGATATGTCAATATAGTTTTAAAAAAATTGATTTTTAAGTTTTCCTCATCCTAAATGATGAAAATTCCGCAGCTACTAAGGAAAAATTTCTGACATGGATTAATAAGAAAACAAATGTATAAAATGAATCAGAATAATAAGGTCTAATTACGCATCAATGAAGATATACCGGAAGAATGTGATTGTGAATGAAGATAGTACCAAATACAAATTGAATTACCTATATTGAATGTTATTGCTGATTGAGAGAAGATTGTGATGTTTCACTATTGATTTTCATTTTCTGTTGGCATGGTAAGATGCTTTCTGTACTTCAACTTCGAACTCTTAAATTCCAGTATCTCCATATGAAATGTCGAATTAAACTTTGAATAAATTCTGCACACAATCATATTGCAGTATCATTTTACACTTTTTTGTTCTTTTCTTTTATGTATGTACATAAAACTGCACTTTGTTTGTTATAGTTCTGAAGTTTGAACATTCTCTGTTATTTTCTTTTTCTTCTTGTGCTGTATGACTTGTGTGGCTTTGTACTCTTGTAATTAAGAAACTACCATAACTAAGCTCTGTGGACCTTTGCCTCACACAGTATGATACCCAATTTATGTTTTACTTATATCTCAAAACCATCTTGCGCCATGCCTTCATTGTTTTCTGGTTGCTATCATCTGCAGGAGGAAGCTTCTGCAATCAAGGCTGCAAGTAAGTCATGGTACAAGACTATGATCTCAGACAGCGATTACACCGAATTTGAGAACTTCTCCAAGTGGTTGGGCGCCTCCCAGTGATATATCTCTGTTTGAAGTCTCTTAGAAACTGTTTTGTTATCTTTTATTTGTGTTATACTGTTATCTCTTGTTTTGTTCGGATTTTAAGACAATGAANCTTAGAAACTGTTTTGTTATCTTTTATTTGTGTTTTACTGTTTTCTCTTGTTTTGTTCGGATTTTAAGACAATGAAAGTTATCATATTGGAGGGGAATTACTGCAATAACGGCTCATCATTTAAGTTCTCGGGTTCCTCCCCCTGTATAATTTTGTCTTAGTTTATGGCTAGTTTGATAAATTTTAGTGCAGACATGTTAAAGGATTTACATATTATCTTATTCATGAACCGATGTTTGCTAGCACTTCACATTTACTCGATCCATTTTTTGTTGTTTTACCTAAATGATGTGATATCTAACATCCATTGCATTTTTTGGTTTGTTCTGCATCTCGATTTTGGCCTGTTTATCTGGTAATTATACCTGTCTTTCTGTGTTACTAGAATGCATTGAACTGGATAATTTTCTGTTTTACCTAACTGATGTGACGTCTAACATCCTTTGTATGTTCTGCTTCTCGACCGTGGCCTGTTTATCTGCTTATACCTATCTTGCTGTGGTGCTAGAATGCATTGAACTGGATAATTGATAGGCTTGCTAAAACTTGTTTGTGTTACCTTAACAATCAAAACGCTATTTCTTAATGGTAACTTGTGGAATGAAATGTTTATTAGTGTTGAGTGAAACATTGATCATTCTATTTGAGTACTTGGCAACATGATTCAAATTCATATTTTTATTCAAATATAACCTTGACCAATTGTCGGTCGAGATTATATAAGGCTGAACAAAAATGGGTCAAATATAAAATTAGGACCCAAATGAGCGTCAGGCTACCCCAAGGTGAATTCTTGTGGAGTGAGGGGCATCATCTACTGTAACATGGTTTGATGTGGTGCATATATGGTAGATTGAGCGTGTGATTTTTAGATTGAATGTTGAGGACGGAAGAGGTCGTCACTGGAGACGGACATGATCATGTGTTAATCATGATGATGTGGTATTCCTAAAACATAGATTTTTAGGATAGAATGAAAAAGTTCCTACTTAATTATGCTAATAAATCCAAGAATTCTGCAATATACTTGTGGCCTCTAGCTTAGCATTATGACCTTGTTACGTTGCTAGTGTGTTTCATCCGCAAGAAAAGATATGAATATGTACAATAAATAAAAATTCATATGAAATATTTTCGAACTTGGCATGCTAAGCAAGTTCTGTGTGGTTTTCATTCCCCCTATTGAGGGTTTATCAATTTCATCCTTATCTAGGGGCCAGGTTGAGTCGAGGTCCTTAGACACCCGAGCTCGGTTCATGTTCACAAAACTAGATGAAGCTCGACTTTGGTTCATGGGTCTCATGGGCCAGTTGAGCAGTTCAAGAGCTCACAAACCGACTTCTGTTTTAAAAATTAATAAAACAAGCTTAAACTGAGCTGTCCACAAGTTCAAAACGAATCGACTTGTGAAAAAATTTGTGCTCGATCCTTGTACTCGAGCAAAACAATGAGAGATTAACGAACAGTTTGCAAGAAATGACTAGACAATAATGTTCCTATAAAGTTGCTAAAGATTAAAGCCACGAGGACAATTGGACTATCTAAATCCCAAGCCAAGATATAATCTCAACGGTTTTACTATCGGTACATCAAGATGTACATCGGGATGTACACCCTCCTCACATGGGGGTGGAGCCCACTTCAATAAAAAAATATTTTACACGAGTAGACCCCACCCCCATGTGAGTGGGGTGTACACCCTTATGTACAATTCTTGATGTACAAGTAGAATAATTCTAATCTCAAATCTGCAAGTGTAATTACATAAGCAACGATGTCACCTAATCACAAAAAATTAATTTAATACGATCCACCGATTTTTAATTAAATCTGTGTAATATGATTTCTTCCTCATTTAGATAAATCCAATGTAAAGTGATAGGAGATTAAGAAAATTAATAAGAATCATCTTACCTTATTACTTCCAAATCTTCATGTAGTGAATCCGAAAAGGTAATCCATTTATTTTAATATCGAAGTCCTAATCCAAGGAAATTATGTGCATAATTAATGGGAATATGATTATAACAATGTACCTGCTGTACTTATATTATAGTTAGGTGGAATTGCTATTCGTTCTCTCTTTGAATTTAGGAGGTCTAAAAAATTGATGAAGACAAAATAATAATTTCATTTAATTTCGAGTTTGTTCGTTTTTTACGAATTGTTAGTCTAATTTGATTGGAAACGGGTCAATGATCACAACACAGAGCCTTTGACATTGATGCACGTCAAATTTTGGGCAAATTCCATCGTTTAGGCCCTCAATTAAGCGTTTTTGCAGTTTCTGGTAATTTTTGTTTTGACAATATCTTAATCAAATAAATTTGGACTTGATTTCTGTTTGTTGGGGATGATTCTGATGATTAGGAGAATCAAGATCCGTCATTATCTCAATTTTTTCCATTTTTTTAAAAAATAATATTTTTTATTATTATCTAATTTCTTTCCGAATTTTTTCCCTATTTAAACGTTGTAAGCTCTTTGAAGCAACTCAATTTTGAATGAAATATAGTTTTTCTTGAATTTCTCTTGATTGAAATTCTTTTTGTGAAATTTTTATCTTTCCTATAATCTTCACCCGCATCAATTGGTATCAGAACCAAAGTCGTTCCTTCACCATATCGTCAAGAAGACGTCAAGCCCTAGTAGAGGAGATGCATAGACGTGATAAAATCGCACAACTGCGTCAACCAGTGGAGTTGCGACACGGCGAGTTGCTGCACTTATGTAGCAACAACATGCCCCAAGAGGTCGTGGTCGTCGGGACAGGTTCCGATTGAGGAAGTCCAACACCCGTGATCATAATATTCAGGACGTCAAGATTGAAGACATTGAAGAAATAATAGAGGAGGAAGAGTTTGATTATGACAGTCTGCCGTATTTAACAATGAAGACATTGAAGAAGCAACAGATGAGGAAGAGTTTAATTATGAAGATCCGCCTGTATTTGACAATAAAGACATTGAAGAAACAACAGATGAGGAAGAGTTTGATTATGAATGTCCGCATGTATTTGACAATGAAGACACTGAAGAAGCAACAGAGGAGGAAAAGTTTGATTATTACGGTCCGTCTGCATTTGACAGTGAAGGTGTGGAAGAGGCAGCAGAGAAGGAGGAGTTTGGGGTTCGTGATGTGAGTCAGAAATTGGTGGTGAGGCGGATTTTTCTGACTTTCCTGGAAAATAACATTGACTGGTTGCGTACTAATCTCTTTCAGTCGACGTGTACTATTGGGGAAAAGAAAAGTGTGTTACTTCCAGATAAGGCTCAGTAAAAACAGTTGGGGATGACGCCAATTTACTGACCAGAGCGAAGTTCGAGACAAATATGGAATGATATGGGATAGTGTATGTGCTGGTGGAAAAGTCAGTTGACAGTGAGCAGGAGGTCACTTGCAGGATTCAGTCATTGCTAGAGAAATTTCATGAGGACTTCCCGGAAGAGCTTCCGATGGATTGCCGCCGGAGCCGCTATTTCGTGGTGATAATTTTGATGATGATGAGATCTCTGCCCCGTCAAATTTGAGGGTGAATTTTTCTCAACCTGTGAAGAATGATGAAGGCAAAATAATAAATTCATTTAATTTTGGGTTTGTTTGTTTTTGGCGAATTGCTAGTCTAATTCGATTGGAAATGTGTCAACGATCACAACTCAAGGCCTTTGGCCCTGATGTACGTCAAATTTTGGACAAATTCTATCGTTTAGACCCTCGATTAAGCGTTTTTGTTGTTTATGGTAATTTTTATTTTGACAATATCTTAATCAAATAAACTCGGATTTGATTTCCGTTTGTTGGTGGATGATCTTGATGATTGGGAGAATCAAGATCCGTCATTATCTTAATTTTTTCCATTTTTGGAAAAAAATAATATTTTTTGTTATTAGGTAATTTCTTTCCGAATTTTTTCGCTATTTAAACGTTGTAAACCCTTTGAGACAACTCAATGTTGAATGAAATAAAGTTTTTCTTGATTGAAATTCTTTTTGTGAGATTTTTGTCTTTCCTATGATCTTCACCTGCATAAAAAATACAAGTGATATATTTTAGTACCTTATAGTTCATCATATCAATTAAATATTTTGCTACGAATTACAAGTTATTTCAAAATGTGAATTTAAGTAGTAAGACATAGCAGATTGAATATCACACAAAGTTTTAAATTTTCAGCAACACTAGGTGAACTGAACGTGTTGTGTTCTCCTGGATCCAAGGTGGGGGTCGCCACCTGACCTACTGATCAAGTATTTTCAACTGATCTTATTTGGTTAAGCCGAGGACTCGACCTTGGGTCAGTACATCGTAACCTGCACAACGAGCGAAGATTCATCCTCGAGTTATCACCTCGGGAGGTGATGTCCCATTGCCCTGCCAGCGCCCTCTTGTTGGGGATCAATCCTAGATCCGCTCTCATATTCAACTAAGGAAACCCCAATCTCCTTCGCTCGCAAGTAGGAGTAGGCAACGAGTCGGGTCGGGTCGGGTCGTTGGGCCGATTTTTACCCAAGCCCGAGCCGACCCGAATTTACCGATTTTGTGCTATTTTCTAAACCGAACCGGCCTGACCCGAGATGGTTCGGGCCTAGTCAACAATTTTTTTTATTATTTTATTTTTCGATTAAGTTCAAACTGTCAAATTAATTCTTATTTGCCTGAAATAAAATCAGAAAAAGTTTATTGTTTTTTTCTTCATGTTGATGATAGTTTGTCATTTTTATAAATCTTGATATTGTAAAAAATTTAATTGAAACAAGATAATTAAATTAAATTAAAAAAACACTAATTAAACTAAACAAAATCAAAATAGCCATCAAGCATGAAAAAAAATTTAAATATTACAGTAATCCAAACTCAATAAATAAGAAAATACAAATGCTACAATCATCCAAAATCAAAAGTC